AATTGAAAACCATGATATTAACCCGCACACCTGATTTTTGACAAAGAAGCTAAATTTATACAATGGAAAAAAGATAGCATCTTCAACAAATGGTGCTGACATAACTGGATTCAGACATGCAGACAATTGCAGATAGATCCGTATCTGTCACCATGAAAAAAACCTTCTTTTCTTAATTAAAGAAAAGAGAAATTTGCCATGAGGTCTTTTTCTAATTTTTAATTAATTAGTTAATTTTGCCTTGAAATCTCACTTTTACTAGATACTGTAGTTACCCCATTTTGCAGAGGTGAGAAGAACTGAGGCTTAAGTAGGCCAAATCATACAGCTAGAAAGTCTGGGTTTTAATGCTTGCAGTTTGACACTCCCATCTACACACACACACACACACACACACACACACACACACACACTTAGCCTTTCTAGGACATCCTGTCCCCTTGGACTGGATTGGGAGACTACAGGAAAAACCCCAGCCCTCTCCCACAGAGTCCTGGCCAGTGATAGCCGCTTCCAGCAGGCGAGAGGAGCTTCCTGAAGGCAATAGCAGAGCGGGCTCCCCATCCTCAGCTTCTGCAGCCTCCTGACAGCTAACACCCCATCCGCAGGGTCTCTGGGATAGGTGCTCCCAGGAGATATTCAGGTGAGAGAGTCTTCTCCCAGGGAAGACAGCAGGCAGAGACTGGAGACAAATGGCTTTCCCAGGGGTGACTCAGAGGTGTGAGGGGTGTGTGTCTGCCTGTCTGTGTGTCTGTGTATCCCATACCTAAAAGCCTAATGAAAACTGCACTAAGTTAGTAAAGTCTCAAGAGGGGAGTATTAGTTGGGGACTGGTGGTAAGCCGGCATTGCCAATGCTGGGAAAGAAGCCTCCATGGGAACAAATAACATTGACGTTCCTACAAAATGTCTGTTCCTGGGTCAAACTTAGGCGGTCACAGTTTGAGTTCTAAACATACTTTCTGCTTCTCTTCAGCCCCAGAATCTTCCCCAAATCCCCCCTAGCCCCTGTAGCTTTTAGTTGGGGGTGGGGGGAGACGACAAAGACTGCCTTTGGGGGACCCCTCCACTTTCTTTTACAACCCTCCCTTCTTTTCCCAACAGGCATTAGCTGGTCCTCATGTCAGTCAAATCCAGCCCTGGGCCCAGCCCGACTTCAGCGCCGGGCAATGATTTCGGAGAGATCCACAACTGGACAGAACTGCTCCACTTTTTCAACCACACCTTTTCCGACTGCCACACGGAATTCAACGAGAATGCCAAACAAGTAGTCCTCTTTGTCGTCTACCTGGCCATATTTGTGGTAGGGTTAGTGGAGAACGTCCTGGTGATATGTGTCAACTGGCGCCGCTCAGGCCGGGCAGGGCTGCTGAACTTGTACGTCCTCAACATAGCCATCGCCGACCTGGGCATCGTCCTGTCCCTGCCGGTTTGGATGCTGGAGGTCATGCTGGACTACACCTGGCTCTGGGGCAGCTTCTCCTGCCGCTTCACCCACTATTTCTACCTTGCCAACATGTACAGTAGTATCTTCTTCCTCACGTGCCTCAGCATTGACCGCTATGTCAGTCTCGCCAATCCCTCTCCCTCCTGGCAGCGCCACCAGCACCGAGTGCGGAGGGCCGTGTGCGCAGGGGTCTGGGTCCTCTCGGCCATCATCCCACTGCCTGAGGTGGTACACATCCAGCTGATGGACGGCTCGGAGCCCATGTGCCTCTTCCTAGCACCTTTTGAAACGTACAGCACGTGGGCCCTGGCGGTGGCCCTGTCTGCTACCATCCTGGGCTTCCTACTGCCCTTCCCTCTCATTGCAGTCTTCAACATCCTGACAGCCTGCCGGCTTCGGAAGCAAGGACAGCCAGAGAGCAGGCGCCACTGCCTGTTGCTGTGGGCTTACATAGCCGTCTTTGTCATCTGCTGGCTGCCCTACCATGTGACTATGCTGCTGCTCACTCTGCATGCGACCCACATCTTCCTCCACTGCCACCTGGTCAACCTGCTCTACTTCTTCTACGAAATCATCGACTGCTTCTCCATGCTGCACTGCGTCGCCAACCCCATCCTCTACAACTTTCTCAGCCCAAGCTTCCGGGGCCGGCTGCTGAGCATTGTGGTCCGTTACCTTCCCAAGGAGCAGGCCAGAGCAGCAGGCCGTCGGGCTTCCTCCTCATCCTCCACCCAGCACTCCATCATCATCACTAAGGAGGGCAGCCTGCCGGCTGCAGAGCTCCACCCCCATCCCACACGGAACTCTGGGGCATCCTCTCCGCCTCGGAACGCCTCATCGACATTCTGCAATTCCATAGCCAGCTGAGGTGGATTCCAGACTCTTCTTCCATCACTAACAAAGTGCGCATCTGGGGGAGGGGACAGGGGAGGACTGGCTTGTCCAGAGTCAATTTTAAATATATCAAAATGTTGCTTGTGGGGAGAGGGAGAAGGGTTGGGAAGGACAGTCTAGGTCCCCCTGGGTGGTATATTATTTGTTTGGGTCGCCTTGGCTAAAGGACCACACAGCTGGAGGAGGGGCATGAAATAAATAAACAGTAGAGACAGCCGTTCTGGGAATCTCTGAGAGCTGTACGCTTCCAGCTGGGTTTAGGAAGGCAGGGACGTTCTGCAGAGGGAACTAGATGCCCTTGTTTCATAAATCACCCTGGCCGGAAGGAATCAGCCCCGCAGGAACCTTGCAAAACTTTGCTTTCGTGTTTGTGCACTTGTTGGTATTCCAGCTCACTCTGCAAGTTGTGGGGACAAGAGGCCAGAGGCCAAGGACCCAGGAGGCTCCTGCAGGACGTTCCCTAGCTGTGCATCATCCAGTGTGGTGATAAGTGAGGGGGGGTGGGGGTGGGGATGACAGTCCGGCAGCTGGGTCTGAGGCAGGCACCCTGTGGCTGGCTCAGCAGGATGGCCCCTCCACCCAGCCAGCCAGGAAACCTGGCTCCACTTCCCTATAGAACCCCCCCCCATCCTCCTCAGTAATGATCTCCCAGCTTTGAACCTAGGATACCCCATCTCCTAGGGAGGCATCAGTGACCCCGCTCCTGCCCCAACTCCCAGATCACAGCAAAAGTGATCACAGTATCAGAGGACATTCACTTTGTGCCTCTGCCTTTGCCCCCCTGCAGGGAGAGAGAAGGTCAAAGACTCACTTCCCCACTTCCAGGACTCTACAGTAAGTTCTTCTCTAGCCAAGCCTTCTTTTTTTTTTTTTTTTTTTGGGGGGGGGGGGCGTTGAGACAGGGTTTCCCTGTGGCTTTGGAGGCTGTCCTGGAACTAGCTCTTGTAGACCAGGCTAGTCTCGAACTCACAGAGATCTGCCTGCCTCTGCCTCCCGAGTGCTGGGATTAAAGGCGTGTGCCAACACTGCCTGGCATAACCAAGCCTTTTTATAGTTTCCCTGTCTATTAACACTATAGATAAGATGTCCTCTTGTTAATAAGTAGCCTCTGGCAAAGGCTCCATTACCAGACTTGGGAAACTAGGGTGGGGAACATGGAGAGCCGGCATAAGAGCTTTAGACTCTAGCTTCTGCCTTGTGTCCTTGGCCTCTGGATGCCATCTGGTGAGTGGTAGACTTGCGGATGCAATCACCCAGTCTGCTCCGGTAATGGGTGCCCCCATAGTTTCCTCTCATTTCTTCACTGTCTCTCTGGTTCTGCTCACCAGCAGTGTACCTGGAATGGAGTACACTGGAATGGAGTGTATAAGTGTGTGTGTGTGTGTTTGTGTGTGTGTGTGTGTGCGTGCGCGTGTGTACATATGCATACCAAAGGTCAACATCAGATGTTTTCATCAATTGCTCTCCCACCTCTCTTTTGAGATGGGGTTCCTCACTGAGAGTTCATCACTGGCTGAACTGCCTGGCCAGCAAGCTCCAGGGAACCACCTATTAAACCATTTCCTCACAGGCGCTGTCAAATGTGTAAGGGGAAACCAACTCTGCTCACTGATTCCAAAGCTAGACGGGTCTTAAGTTAGACAGTTACTCAGGAGCAGGGCTTTGCTTTTTGACCGAGAAGTCTTTTTTCTTGGGGCGTGGGGGGAGTTGAAACAGGGTCTCTCTGTGTAGACCTGACTGTCCTGGAACTCACTCTGTAGACCAGGCTGACTTTGAACTCAGAAGATCCACCTGCCTCTGCATCCCCAGTGTTAGGACTAAAGGTGCGCACCACCACTGTCTGGCTTGACCCAGAAGTCTCAGTTGCTGCTTAAGGCGCAGTAAAAATTTAACCAAATAATGCAGAAAATACATTAAAAAGCCCTTCTTCACTTGCCCCCATTTACAAACGCAGGGTAAGTCCTGATGCCCACACCAGTGATGTGAGCTCTGGCATACATCTTATACCTCAGGAACCATAGAGGCCACCTCCCTTAGGTGAGGTGCCACTCAGTCATCTCCTGGGGGCCGTTCCACCCATGGAAGAGGTGAGCAGAAATAGATGTACTGACTACAAGGCTGTTCCGCTTAGCAGACACTTAGCAAGCAGATGATGGCTGGGCCTCAGGCTTCAGGACCAAATGGACCGCAGGCCATGTTCTGAGGGAAAACACGAGTCTCTATCTTACAAAGCACCAAGTCTCGCTCTTGGCTCTTCCTTTCCCCACTGACCGCGCCCACTCAGACACGCTACTTCATCATGAAGTGGTGATAGCCAGAACCCTTGCTTCCTGACTCTGGGCTGAGACCTATACAGAGACCCAGTGTTCTCTCCAGGCTGAAAGATCACCACGGGGATATTTCCCTGAGACACTGAGTGCTTGACTTCAAACCTACTACAAAACAGTCAACAAGCAGGTCCTGGGGAATTCCAGCCACAGGAAAACACCATGTGTTGCCTGAAAGAATCCTGGCATCTGTTGGGCTGGCGTGAGCTCCTGAGGCTGGCCAGAGCCAGATATCTGAACTCCAGACCTGAGCAAATTTGTGCATGCACATGGGGGGTAAAAAAAGCAAACAAAAACAAAACAAAACAAAAAAAAACAAAAAACAACTCCCACTTCAAATTTCTTTTTTCTTTTTTATTCTAAATAAAAACCACACTTTGTGCTGAACAATGGGATATAAAAGAATCAGATGTACGATTTTAGACGTCTACTATTTGGGAGGAAAGGTTTACAAAATATACAAAACTTTACAGCAGATAGTAAACACTTAAATATTAGGAGGTCAGTACTTCTTAATTTAATGGAAGGAGTTAGACAGCAGCAGCTTCTCTGCTTCAAAAGAGACTTGAGCTACTCCAGGTGGGGGAGGGTGGGGACAGACATTGGGAAGGTGTCAAAACATCATCACAAGTGTCATTTTCGTTCTGACACGGATTATGATAATCACGCTGAAATGAATGTTGTGCACTTTCTGACTCACTTGCTGCAAGATTTAGGGGAGAGGACGTGGGTGCTCCTGGATAGGCAGAGACCAATTCGTAGGGCCCCCTCCCATGCCAGCAGTCTCTGTGTCCATCCATAAAGGGATTTAAATTAACTTTGCAAGTGGAGTAGTCTAGGATCTGGTGGACACGGCACAGCAGGAAGCCAGAGAAGGAAGCCAGTCAGTAGCAAAATCCCGCCTGGGTGAAAAAGTACTGAAGCATACAGGCTTGCCCTGTAGACAAGGGGCTGTGAATATGTCACCATAAAATAAAATGTAATTCTTTCCTATTTCTTGGTCCTTAGGGCTACCTAACCCACACCAATACCACCCCTTTTCTTCCTGACTAACATGAACTGCAGGACTCCACAGAATCTTAAAACATAGAACCGAATACTGGGGTTCACTCAGTAGAGCTTCCAGCAGTGTGTGTCATCTCTGAGCCATCAGGGGTCACTGGCACACAAGGACACATCCTGTTCTCGGGCCATAAGCAGTCCACGCTGTGTGTGCCAGCATGCCACACCAGCACTACAACCTCCCTTAGGAAACAAGCTAGGACTGCAATTGCTGGACAAGAGAGTTCTGAAAACTGTGCAGCTGGTCCTGAGTACAGACCAAAAAGGGGCGGGGGAGGGGAGGGACGTGACAGGCAAAGATGGAACATTCAAGGATCAAAGAGAACTCTAAAGCGATACAGCAGGGGCTAGTGCTAAACTGGAATTCAAAAGGGAGGAGAAAGTGAAATCAAACAGGTGTTAAGTTAAAAACTAAAAATGCAAAATACAATTATCACCTTCCACCAGGTAGCCTTGAGTACCCTTCACTACCATGTAATGTTTCAAGTAAATCAACTCAAGAGAGGGATGAACTAGCTCTGGGGAAAGCAAACACAACTTCACACAGAAGGGGAGACAGGTATGAATGTGGGGCTACCCACAGAAGCGTGGTTTGGACAATGAGCCTCATGAGCCTCTGACTCCACGTGCTACATGTCTGACTGGGACCAATTGGACCTCCCTGATCACCTAACCTCAAGGGATCAGAGGGTACGGTTTTTAGTGTTTAAAGGGCAAAATGTCAAAGATCTGCTTTTTGGTTTATGGCAAAAAGGGAAAACTTCACAGTTTCAGGTTAAGCAGACAGACCACCCAGCATCTATGATTCCATATGCTAAGGAAAAGGGTCTCTCAAAGCACTCTCAGCAACCTGGCTGAGATCAAGTACCACCCCTCTCAAATCAGCCATCCATACTCACTCCTCACCAGCAGTCTTGGAAAACTCAGCAGATACATAATTGTAGCTTGTTACACATCCCCAGTGTAAAAAAATGGGAAGTCACAGCAATGATTTCCTGATAAAAATGTCAGAAGTTTAGATAGCAAAAGGCGGCCTTTGACTGGCCACTGTCTCGGTCTCATCATTTGAGCTCACCAAAATGCCCTGAGCATTTACTCACAGGCTTTCTCAGTTCAAGACTGGGGAAAGAGGCAGCTGGCCCAACAAGGATACAGCTTTGGTTTACCTCTGTGTCTTAACATATGTGGACAGGAGGCTCCCTAAGCTGGAAGGATAAAAAAAACTGTGCAAAAACCTTCATGTGACTTGATCTAGATTTGTTCTGCTAGAAAAAATACCTGGAGAAACAAAAATGTGCTGTTTAAAAGGCCTGGAACATTCTCTCATAGTTACACCCCTGTTCTCCAAATCCACAGCATACCCATGTGGTGGAATATGACTCCTTGCTTGAGAGAAACTAATTTTCCTAAAGTCACTTATTGAAAAGAGATACTGGGTAATATGTATACAAAACAAAAAAATAAATAAATACTAATGTCTAAAAAGGCTTTGTGAGTTAATTAAAAACCACTTGCTTATGGAACAGCCCAGGGTGCTGCTGAGTCCCACCAGGGGGCAGCGTCAGCGGCTGGGCCCAAAATTAGGGACTCTCAGAGCTCACCTGAGCAGGGTGAGGTAGTATGAGCTACTGAAGTGCCATCTTCTAAGTATGCAAGATCAAGGGTCCTCTCCTCCAGCCGTTTTTGGGCAAGGCCCCTTCAAAGACTAAGAAAGGAGCCAAATAGCCACATTTGGAAGGCCTAAGCCAGCTACCATCCAAGAGTGCCACCTGGAGGTGATGCAATCATAGCTACCAGACTGTTACCACCAAGCAAACAAGGGACCAGAGTGGGACAGCCACACCCTGCTATAGCCCACCAGTCACTTGGGCTCCACCATCTCACAGGGTCTTCTCATTCACGCTGTAGGTCGAACCATCCTGAGTGGGAGACTCGATGTGAATTAAGGCAAGACTGCTGCTGTCAGAGGGGTCTCTTCCTGCCCAGGAGACCACAAACGGTTAAGGGGGCGGCCAAGTGGCAGATGACTACATCGGAGTGGCTCTCTGTCCTCTCTGCTCGTGAGAGAGGCTTGACATCCAGGGACATACTCTTAAAACAAAACAAAAAAAATCATCATGTTTCTTTGGAAATGAGGAAAAAGAGGAGTATCTTCTTCCATCCATCCAGGCTCCCCATCGGGCGGCACCATGGGACACCCAAGCTTTCCAACCTAAACAGAAAGCTTGGTCCTCAGTTTGGATCTAGCTGCCAAGAGATTTTCAGTGTCCAATCAGGAGATTCGAGCTGCCCTCGGTCCTGACACCTTGTCCCTGCTGAGGAGGGAATGGGAACCCCAGATGAACTGCCCTGCTGCCAGTCCCTTCTGAACAACCACATTTCCCCAAACCTTCTCATAGCTGTTGCCCAGCCAGAGGTCGGACAGTCACACCCACAGTGAAAAACCTCTCTCCGCCTCTTCCATCCAGTGAGGCTATTGGCCGGATTCTTAGCAGCATAAAAACTATCAGTAAACTAAAACTAGAGAAACTGGCAAAGGGGACCTAGCTGACAGGGCCACTTGACTAGATCCTAAAAACCAGCCCCAAAAGAATCAAGAATGCAGCCCTCCTTGGGCAAGAGTAGGTATGGAGGTAAATGTAACAGGGCTGTTGCCTCTCAAAAACAGTAACAGCTTATGTGCTATTTCTTCTTTCAACACAACACAGAATAGAATTCCTAGCAAGGCAAAACTGTAGCATCAGCTGGGGAAAGACCAACAGCCTTTAGAAAATCAGTATCCTGGCTGCCCCCTGGGAGCTCCCTCTGCGGAGACCCCGTCAGCTGTCCGGGTTCTTTTCGGTCTCTTTGGAATGGATAATGTACATGAAGGTCTGCTCGATGGTGAAGTCGGGTGGGAGGCTGCCTTTGTGCACACCAACATGTTTGCTCATGAGGTTAAGCGTGGAGCTGTAGTGGCCACAGACTGTACAGCGGTACATGAGTGCCCCGGAGTGTGTCTTGAGGTGGCACTTGATGGTCGAGCGACCTCGGAAGAATTTGTGACATACCTTACACTGGTAAGGTTTCTCACCGGTGTGGATCCGCCGGTGGTAGTTGAACTCACTTGTGTGGGCAAACCTTTTGCCACAGACCTTGCAGCTATACTTGCTGTTCCCAGGTTGGCCTTGCAAAGCCAGTTCCTCACTCAGAAACTCCTCTGCCGGCAGCTTCCGTTTCTGGAGGGCTAAGTGTTGTAGACCCAGACCAGGCCGCGCATCGAGGCCACTGTTGCATTTGTGTTGACTCACGTGGTAGCGGTAGGCAGCCTCAGACCTGAAGCTCTGGCTGCATAAATGGCAGCGGAACAGGGTGTCCTCCAGGCTTTGGTGCACAGCCATGTGCTTCTCTAGAAGGTGCCAGTCCACAAAGCTACTGGCACAGACGGAACAGGAGAAAACCGAGATGCCCAGATGAGAGAGTGTGTGCCACATGAGGCTACACAGGTTGAGGTGGCGCTGGTCACAGATGCTGCAGGCCTGGCCCTTCAAGTTCAGATGGTCAAGGATGTGGCCTCGGACCACATGGAAATCTTTGGCCAATGCTTTCCCACAGACAGCACACTTTAACTCGGGGGAGGCTGCCCCTGAGAAGAGACCCAGTTTCCCAGACAGGGGCTCATGAGGGTGGACAATGATGTTGTTTTCAAATATCCCATCCCGTCGGTGCAGGGCTAGCTGCCATTGGGTAAAGAACTTCGTCTCACACATGTCACAGGAAAACAGAAAGATACCAATGTGGGACAGGACATGGGTCACCCGGGAGTTTCGGTCCTGGAAGTGGGTCTCGCAGACCTTGCAGTTGCCTGTGAGCAGGTCCACATGGTCCCGAGCATGCTGCCGTATCAGCTGAATGTTGGGCTCTAGAACTTTCTTGCACACCTGGCAGGGCATGGCCTTATTCTCCCGGTTGTCAGTCTCACCAAAAGCCAGGTCGTCCTCACTGTCATCGCTCAGTTCGATCACCTCCTCAGCTGTCCCAATCTCTTCAGCCGGGTCCTCGAACTGCAAATCATCGTCCCCCAGGTCCTCCAGCTGAAGCTCATCCACCTGCCCAAAGCCTGGATCTTTGGAGTGGTCACTATTGCTTAAACAGGAATTGGTCCCGGTTGTAATGTCCATGGCACTGTCGGGGGTGAAGAAGTTTTTACTGAAGTCTCCATTACTTTGAATTTTGTATGGCTGGCAAGAACTCGTGCCCGTCTGGATGCCTGCGTTGACATTGCCCAGGACTGACTGGGTCACCATACTAGGAACAGACGTGAATGGAACAGGGGCATCGTGGTCTTCTGTCTTTGGTGGCAGGGGCAAGCTGTGGTTAGTGTCGCTGGTAACATTCCTCTCTTCCTCTTTATAGTTCCCGCCAACATCAGTAGGCAACACATAATTTCTCTCAGGACCAAAATGTTCCCCACTCCCCCGGAGCTCCCCAAGGGAGTGAGTGGGATCCACGGAAGGACATCTCAGAGTACCAGACTGGCTATCACTGGTCAAGGACTTAGCTACTGCGGTGCTCTCTAGGTCAGGAAATGTAGAGTGGCAGGCCTGAAGTAGGTCCTCCATACCCAGGCGCTCAGCGACCTCATAGATGACACCAACGTTGATCAGGTCTGTGAAAAGCTCTGAGGTGTAGACAAAGCTCAGAATCTTCTCAAAGTTGGCAGGCGTAATGAAGTCCACCACATAGGTCCGGGCGGCATCAAGCCCAGTATTCAAGAAGAGGTTCTGGAAGTAACCAGCTGCGCAGGCCAACACGGCCTTGTGGGCGGGAAAGGAGCGGCTCCCCACCACAATAGTGACATCGCACATGGTCTCTGACAGCCGGCACTTGTTGAGTTCCTTCAGCAGGTTGTTGGGGTGGTTGGTGCTTTGCAGTTTGATTCTCATGCCCATCTTAGCAGCTCCTAGGAAGTTGCCTCTGTCACCAAGGTCAATCTATGAACAAGACAAAAACAAAAAAAGAAAGAAAGATAGCCAAACATCCCTAAGAGGGGGGCTCTGAGCAGGAGTAAATGGACAAGGAGAACTGAAGCCAAAGATAACAAGTGGCGGAGAATGATCTGTTCCCTACATATATAACCAACTAGAGATTCATCACAGCAAAGTCCCAAAGGAATGAGGGAAAAAAATCGATTAGCTTGGTCTTGGAAATCTAAGAAGCTGGAATTGCAGACAGCTCAACCATTGAAAGCTTCATGCATAAGACCCAGGTTCCATGCCTAGCATCCACATGTCCATAACTCTAGTTCTAGGAGACCTGACACCTTCTTCTGGCTTCTTCAGGCAACAGAACCACATGACACAATGTAGGGAGCATGTAAACGGACAGGCAGAAGCCTGGCTGGAAGGAGATTAGGGAAGTGAGCACAGGCTGGTTACCCAACTACCAGAGACAGGAATGAATGAGACCGTGCATGTGTGGCCTGTGCTCACATTCCTAATCTCCTTCCAGCCAGGCTTCTGCCTGTCTGTCTACATGCTCCCTACACACATTTACATACATGTAGACAAACATTCACACTGTGGAAACAAAAATAAAATACTTTTAAAAACCTAAGAGGCCAGGTGCGATAGTATATATCTATAATTCTAGCAGTTTGTAGGCTAGGGCAGGAGTATCCGGAGTTCTAGGACAGTCTGGGCTAGGAAGCCAGACTGTACATTTTACAAAGAAGGGTATGGGGTGTGGGTGTCAAGCTAGGAGCCTTCCAACTGTGGGGGGTAGAGCTACTGAACACAAGCCTCTCTACTACCAAAACAACGGGCTTGGGTTTCTTTATTAACTTCCTAAATAAAGTTTCTTTTTCACTAACAGTGTACCCTCTTCCCTGACAATGCCAAATGCCACAAATAACTTGAACACCATTATCAAAGCTCCATTAGCTACTGAGGAAAAGTAAGAGTTGCACTTGAGTTGCCTATCACCGCTGCCATTTCAAGCCTCCAGATACTCCCACACTCTCTATTCTTTTTTTCTCTCTCTCTCTCTTTCTCTTTTATGTTTTTGAGCCAGGGTCTTACGTAGCCTAGGCTTACTCTGAAATTGCTCTGTTCCTAAAGGATGGCCTGGAACTCATGGTCCTCCTGCCTCTCCACCTCCCAAATGCTAAAATACAAATATGAGCGACCAGACACAGCTTGAATCCCCCATCTCGCCCTTCCTAGGCTATGCGCCTACCCTCTGGCCCTTCCCAGAGCAGTACCAGACGCTGCTTTCTCAACGCTACTGCCTTCTGCAGATGAAGCTAAACTCATAACCAAAGAAGAAAGGGGAGCGAACACAACTGTGATATTTAACATTACTTGGGGACGCTGCATTTCTCCTTATCAACCTCACACTAACAACTGGATGTCTTATGAAAGGCATCTGTGGCATAGGGAAGAGTCCTTTAAGCCCTTTTAATACTTTCCCCCCCTGTCGGCTCCCACACACCTCGGAAGGACAGACAGACAGACAGCTAGTCACTTGCTGTGCGTCTCACAACTCGCCCCTTTCTGCACCGCACCAACAATTCCCAACTTTTTCCGGGGCCCGGCACTCGTCTGAGTATTCCTGGGCACCGACCCCGCGTCTCCCGGGCCCTGGCGGTCACTGGTCCACCGTGGGCGGGTCCGGGTACCCGGCAGACTCGGAACTTGCAAGGAGTGCGCCCCAAGGGTCTGGCGCCGCCGCGGTCCCCTCCTCTCCGCCAAGGCAGGGGCCGGACTGGGCTGGGACGCACCCCGCGGGGAGGGGACACATCGGCCGCCCCAGACAGCGCGGGCTGCCCCT